AATCTATTCTCGATAAAATACTTGAAGAACAGTTAAAGCAAAGTATAATGATTGATACTTTGCAAGATGAAATTTCTGAAAATCACAAGCTTTTAGAAAATATCAAAAATGTTCTCACAACATTTGCATCAGGATCATTGACTATGATAAATGAAAAACAGCCAAAACAATGATTAAAGAGAAAAGATATGAAACATATGTGGTGGGATGTAAGTATTTAAGCGTTATAATAGTTTTTGTGTGTTCTTTATAATAATTCTATTATATTTGTTTATATTATATTTGTTTAGGCACCTATGATGAAAGCATGTTACTAATTGTTTCAAGAAAACAAAAACTCATCGGATATGGATATTGAGCAAGCTTTTAAACAGCAAGTTCAAAATAACTATTCTCAGAAAATGCAAGAGCTTGCTAATTTGAACGGATGGGATAATTTCTGGAATGCTGGATATTCCATCATATGTTTTTATTAATTACATGATTAAAGCAATATATAACAATCATGACATTATTGATTTTTACTAATCACATAAAATAATGATATTGTTTTTATATATAGGCGTTAGAATATTTTTGAAATCTCAGAAGTTCATGTGTTCGCAAACTAAAAAATACTACTTGTATCTTTTTAAATTTATTTTCTGATAAACTTAGTCAATTTGCTAGTTCCGAAGAAGTTAGATTCTAGAAAGAATCTGAAAGAGACAAACAAGCAAGAAATAATCTCAGAAATAAAGTTGATAACAATGATCCAAATTCTCCTTATCATAATCGAAGCCATCTTGCAAAAAACATTCACCAAAGAAGAATTACAATATAAGGATAACATTATATTCAGTGTAACTGTAATTTTAATGTTCTTAAATCCATCGTATAATCAAGCTGAAATTTCAGCATCAAAGGTACAAAAGCATATGAAACAATGGAATTCAGATCCATTTATACGAAGCTTGGTAGGTTTTGTAAAATTAATGTTATTTTTTACTTAATATATTTATTAATATTTTTTATTTTAGTTTAAATGTAATAATAAAAAACAATCGGAAGATTTATCTAATCAAGAGAGTAATAATTCAAATGAATATTATGAAGATATGGATAGTAATAATAATAATAATAAAAGTGATAATTCTAGCGACAATAATGAAGATAATTGAATAATTTCTTAAATTGTATTTGTGTTATATAAATAAATAATAATTATAATACAAAAATGCTATAATACATATAAATTTACATGTTGTTTTATTGATTGATTTATATAATACATTATTTTACATATTGATTGATGTTGGTATTTTGATGCATTGTTCTGCGTTGCCTTTGCAGCACAACGTGATTTGATGTTGATCAGCACATAACACTTAATGACGTGCAATTTCACGTGCATTTAACTTCCTGATGTATCTTCAGAATTTATTATGCGTTAATTTTTATTTATTTTATAAATTAGAATAAATTGAATTAGTATAGCTTATGATTGTAGTCAATTTATTATAACTCAAAAGACATTAGTTAACATAAAAATAAAAAAAATGCTAGTTTATAAATAATTAATTTAAAAAGAATATATATAATAACTGGCAATCATATCAACTGATAGAATTGTTTTTAATTTGTATAGTATTTGCTTGAGTGATAGAAGTTATTATATTTTAATTTTATATATGGCCTAATAAATTATGTAGGATCATAATTAATGTATAGAATACATATAAATTTAATTAAATCCAAATTCTGAATAAAATTTTTTAACAACCTATATATTGATTCTACAACTTCATTGTTTTTTAAATTTTGAAGTTTATTCTGAAAAAATTGAAAAAAATAAAAAATATTTAAATAGAATATTATTTAATATATTTCATTTATATCTGTCTGTCTGAAATTTTTTCAAGAATTTTTTTTTAACAAATTGTCCCTGTGATATATTAAACATATTGTAATAATTACATGTGAAGTTTGTCAGCTGTCTAATGACTTTTTAAATATATTTGATAGCTTAATTTTTTAATTATAAAGACTTTTTTGTAACTTTTATTTTTACATCGTTATAAGAAATTTTCAATTCTTATCTGATAAACTTGTTTCAAGTGATAATTCTTATGTTTAAATTATAATTTTAATTTGTTATTCAAATAAGATAAATAATAGAAAAATAAATGTAAAGTAAGTGGTTTCTCAATAAATTTATTATTTATTAATAATTAATAAATAAATAATTAAATATAATTTTTACATATGACTTTCTGAAGCTGAAATACAATACAAAAAAATTAAAGATTAATACTAATTAAAAATGGTTATTAGTATATTCTGTAAGTCAGGATTCTTTGTCTTCAACTTCTGATTAATAATCAAATTAAAGCTCTGAACGGTTCAGTTCAATCTGGATTAGAAAATTTCAATTCAGTTAAATTCAGTTTATTAACCTTAAAAATGCCAATATGAATCTGAACTGAACTGTGAACTGGTAAAATCTGAATTGAACTGAAATTTTCAGATTAATCCAAAATTTTAGTATTATTATATGTAATCTCCAAGAGAATTCACAATATATATACGAAACTCTTAAAGAATCTGAAACTTATTACGATTCTCTAAAAGAATTCACAAATTTTTGCAATTCTCAAAGAATTTCGCAAAAGAATTGTGATTCTCTAAAAGTTTCACAAAAGAATTGAAATCTTCAAAGAGAATTCACAAATTTTTGTGATTCTCTAAGAGTTTTGCAAAATAATTACGATCTTTGAAGAGAATTCGCAAATTTTTGTGATTCTTCAAGAGTTTTACAATATCTTTGTGATTCTCGAAGAGAATTTCACTTATAAATTGCAGATTCTCTTTGCCCAATAAAAAATTTTGATATAAAAATTCCATAAAAATATTAAGTTTTATAATATATAATTTTTATGGAATTTCAGAATAATATATATGTTTTTTTCTTAGATAAAAACCTTAAACTTAATACGGAAAAGTGGGAAAAAACGTATACAAAAATAAGAAAAAAATGTATATTTTCTAATACTTTAACGAATGTAAAAATCACAGATATAACATATATTTTCTAATATTTTAACGTATACAAAAATCACAGATATAACATATATTTTCTAATGCTTTAACAAATGCAAAAATCACAGATATAACGTATATTTTCTAATGCTTTAACAAATGCAAAA